ATCCATGACATGTTGGTGGACATGGCCATGCTGGTGGAGAGCCAGGTCTGGCCAGAGTGACCACCGGTCATTGGGAGTGACCACTGGTCATTGGGTGTGACCACCGGTCATCAGGAAGGGTTTGAGGTCATCGGGATGGGTTTGAGGTCATCTGGACCCACCAAGAGTCATCAAGAACCCACCAGGGGTCATCTAGAATGGGGTTAGAGGTCATTGGGAGTGACCAGTGGTCATTGGGAGTGGCCACCGGTCATCGGGAAGGGTTTGAGGTCATTGGGAGTGACCAGGGGTCATCTGTGACGTGTTGGTGGACATGGCCATGCTGGTGGAGAGCCAGGTCCAGCCAGAGTGACCACCGGTCATCCCGAGTGACCACTGGTCATCCTGAGTGACCACCGGTCATCAGGAGTGACCAGTGGTCATTGGGATGGGTTTGAGGTCATTGGGAGTGACCAGTGGCCATCATCACTGACTGTTGGTCACTCTGGCTGACCGGTGGTCACTCAGGCTGACCGTTGGTCCCTCTGGATGATCGTTGGTCACTCTGGATGACCGTTGGTCACTCTGGCTGACCAGTGGTCACTGTGACTGACCATTGGTCACTGTGAGTGACCGGTGGTCACTCAGGCTGACCAGTGACTGACTGCTGGTCACTCTGGCTGACCGCTGGTCACCCTGGCTGACCGTTGGTCACCCTGGCTGACCAGTGACTGACTGCTGGTCACTCTGGCTGACCGCTGGTCACTCTGGCTGACCGGTGGTCACTCTGGATGACCATTGGTCACTCAGGCTGACCGGTGGTCCCTCTGGATGACCGTTGGTCACTCAGACTGACCAGTGGTCACTGTGACTGACCAGTGGTCACTGTGACTGACCATTGATCACTCTGGCTGACCGGTGGTCACTCCGGCAGACTGTTGGTCACTCCGGCTGACTGTTGGTCACTCTGGCTGACCACTGACTGACCGCTGGCCACTCCGGCTGACCGGTGGTCACTCTGGATGACCGTTGGTCGCTGTGACTGACCGGTGGTCACTCCGGCTGACCGTTGGTCGCTGTGACTGACCGGTGGTCGCTGTGGTCACTCTCTGGCCTCAGGGGGAGATGATTGACCGCATCGAGTACAACGTCGAGCACTCGGTGGATTACGTCGAGCGCGCCGTGTCCGACACCAAAAAAGCCGTCAAGTACCAGAGCAAGGCCCGGCGGGTCAGTGCGGCCACCGCGGGTGACCGGGGGTGACCAGGGGTGACTGGGGGTGACCGGGGGTGACCAGGGGTGTCCAGGAGTCACTGGGAGTGACCAGGGGTGACCAGGAGTGACCAAGGGGTGACCAGGAGTGACCAGGGGCTACTGAGAGTGACCAGGGGTGACCAGGAGTGACCAGGAGTGACCACGGGGTGACCAGGAGTGACCAGGGGCTACTGGGAGTGACCAGGGGCTACTGGGAGTGACCAGGAGTGACCCTGAGTGACCAGGAGTGACCAGGGGTCACTGGGAGTGACCAGGGGTTAAAAGGGGTGACCAGGAGTGACCAGGGGTGACTGGGGGTGACCGGGGGTGACCAGAGGTGACCGGGGGCGACCAGGAGTGACCAGGGGCTACTGGGAGTGACCAGGAGTGACCAGGAGTGACCAGGAGTGACCGGGGGTGACCAGGAGTGACCAGGGGCTACTGGGAGTGACCAGGAGTGACCAGGAGTGACCAGGAGTGACCACGGGGTGACCAGGAGTGACCAGGGGTCACTGGGAGTGACCAGGGGTGACTGGGGGTGACCAGGGGCTACTGAGAGTGAGCAGGGGTGACCAGGAGTGACCAGGAGTGACCAGGAGTGACCACGGCTACTGGGAGTGACCAGGAGTGACCAGGGGTGACCAGGAGTGACCACGGCTACTGGGAGTGACCAGGAGTGACCACGGGGTGACCAGGAGTGACCAGGGGCTACTGGGAGTGACCAGGAGTGACCACGGGGTGACCAGGAGTGACCAGGGGTCACTGGGAGTGACCAGGAGTGACCAGGGGTCACTGGGAGTGACCAGGAGTGACCAGGAGTGACCACAGGGTGACCAGGAGTGACCAGGGGTCACTGGGAGTGACCTGGGGTGACCACGGGGTGACCGGGGGTGACCGGGGGTGACCAGGGGTGTCCAGGAGTCACTGGGAGTGACCAGGAGTGACTGGGGGTCACTGGGAGTGACCAGGGGCTACTGGGAGTGACCAGGAGTGACCAGGGATGACCAAGGGTGACCAGGAGTGACCAGGAGTGACCAGGGGTGACCAGGGGCTACTGCGGGTGACCGGGAGTGACCACGGGGTGACCAGGAGTGACCAGGAGTGACCAGGGGCTACTGGGAGTGACCAGGAGTGACCAGGGGTGACCAGGGGTGACCAGGAGTGACCAGGAGTGACCAGGGGTGACCAGGGGTGACCAGGAGTGACCACGGCTACTGGGAGTGACCAGGGGTTAAAAGAAGTGACCAGGAGTGACCAGGAGTGTCCAGGGGTGACCAGGGGCTACTGCGGGTGACCGGGAGTGACCACAGGGTGACCAGGGGTGACCAGGAGTGACCGGGGGTGACCAGGGGCTACTGAGAGTGAGCAGGGGTGACCAGGAGTGACCACAAGGCTACTGGGGGTGACCGGGGGTGACGGGGAGTGACCAGGGGTGACCACGGCTACTGGGAGTGACCACGGGGCTACCAGGGGCTACCGGGGCTACTGGGGGTCACTGGGGACTACTGGGAGTGACCAGTGGTGACCAGGGGTCACTGGGGGCAACTGGAATTCAGTGTGGCCACCACGAACCCAGTGTGGCCACCAAGGCCTCGATGTGGCCACCAAGAATTTGATGTGGTCACCAAGAGTTTGATGTGGCCACCACGAACCTAATATGGCCACCAAGGCCTTGATGTGGCCACCATGAATTTGATGTGGTCACCACGAACCCAGTGTGGCCACCAAGGCCTCGATGTGGCCACCACAAACCCAGTGTGGCCACCAAGGCCTTGATGTGGCCACCATGAATTTGATGTGGCCACCATGAATTTGATGTGGCCACCAAGAATTTGATGTGGCCACCATGAATTTGATGTGGCCACCACGAACCCAGTGTGGCCACCAAGGCCTCGATGTGGCCACCATGAATTTGATGTGGCCACCACAAACCCAATGTGGCCACCAAGGCCTCGATGTGGCCACCACGAACCCAATGTGGCCACCAAGGCCTCAATGTGGCCACCATGAATTTGATGTGGCCACCATGAATTTGATGTGGCCACCACGAACCCAATGTGGCCACCATGAATTTGATGTGGCCACCATGAATTTGATGTGGCCACCAAGAATTTGATGTGGCCACCATGAATTTGATGTGGCCACCAGGAGCTCGATGTGGCCACCAAGGCCTTGATGTGGCCACCATGAATTTGATGTGGCCACCAAGAATTTGATGTGGCCACCAGGAGCTCGATGTGGCCACCAAGGCCTCAATGTGGCCACCAAGGCCTTGATGTGGCCACCAAGAATTTGATGTGGCCACCAAGAATTTGATGTGGCCACCAAGAATTTGATGTGGCCACCACGAACCTAATATGGCCACCAAGGCCTTGATGTGGCCACCATGAATTTGATGTGGCCACCAAGAATTTGATGTGGCCACCACGAACCCAATGTGGCCACCAAGGCCTCAATGTGGCCACCATGAATTTGATGTGGTCACCAGGAGCTCGATGTGGCCACCAAGAATTTGATGTGGCCACCAAGAATTTGATGTGGCCACCAAGGCCTTGATTTGGCCACCAAGAATTTGATGTGGCCACCAAGAATTTGATGTGGCCACCAAGAATTTGATGTGGCCACCACGAACCCAGTGTGGCCACCAGGAGCTCGATGTGGCCACCAGGGAGGTGGCCCTGGCCAGGGTGGGGGAGGGGTCGGTGACGTTCTGCTCTTCTCTCCTCTCTCCCCTCCCCCGCTGCCGGGACCTCCCGAAATGCAACAAAATTCATTAAAATTCACCCAAATTCATCAAAATCCATCGAAATCCATCGAAATCCATCATCATTCATCAACATTCACCCCAAAATCACCAAATTCATCAAAATTCATCTAAATTCATCAAAATTCACCCAAAATTCATCAAAATTCATTGAAAATTCATCCAAATCCATCAACATTCATCAAAATTTATCCAAATTCATCAAAATTTATCAAAATTCACCCAAAAATCACCAAATTCATCAAAATTCACCAAAAATTCATAAAAATTCACCCAAATTCACCCAAAATTCGTCCAATCTCATCAACATTCATCAAAATTCATCCAAATTTATCCAAAATTCATCAAATTCATTGAAATTCACCCAAATCCACGAAAATCCATCAAAATTCACCCACAACCAACCAAAATCCCCCCAAATCATCCGAACTCCACCCAAATCCCACCGAAACCCGCCCTGAATTCACCAAAACGCATCAAATTCACCGACATCCCCTGAAACCCACCCAAAACCTCCCAAATCCACCCAAATTTGTCCAAAATCCTCCAAAATCCCCCAAAATCCCCCGAAACCCACCCATACCCCACCAAAATCCATCGAAACCCACCCCAAACCCCCCAAAATTTCCAAAACACATCAAAATCCACCAAACCCAACGAAACCCACCCAAAACCCTCCCGAAATTCACCAAAATCCATCAAACCCCACCAAAACCCACCCATAACCCACCCGAATCCACCGAAATTCACCAAAATTCACCAAAACTCACCCATAACCCACCCAAATCCACCGAAATTCACCAAAATTCAACAAAACCCATCAAAACTCACCCATAACCCACCTGAATCCACCGAAATTCACCAAAATTCACCAAAACCCACCCATAACCCACCCAAATCCACCGAAATTCACCAAAATTCACCAAAACCCATCAAAACTCACCCATAACCCACCCGAATCCACCGAAATTCACCAAAATTCACCAAAACCCACCAAAACCCACCCATAACCCACCC